GAAACTGCCTCATACTCCTCAAAATTATTAGAGAGAGAGAATCTAATTAAACTGAACAGTATACCATGTTCATGAAGTAAAAGATGGTAGTTCAGATGAAATGAGATGATGGGATCACCTCAGATCTAATTAAGCTCAACTATGAGTTGTATTGTGTGTGTGTGTGTGTGTGTGTGTGTGTGTGTGTGTGTGTGTGTGTGTGCAGGCAATTAAGCTAATCAGAAATGGAGGAGGGACAATGTATTTTTCTTTTGTTTCTTTTTTCTTTTTGCAGACAGGATCTCTCTATTTAGCCCAGGCTAATTCAGCCTCTCTGGTGCTGGTATGCATAGTGTAACACATGCCCAGTGTAGTCAGGGTGATTGGCCAGAAGGAAAACAGAACTGTAGGAATGCTGCTCTTCGATGGTAGAAATGGCTATATAAAGTTGTGGTGATTAAGACAGTGTAGTGTTGACAAAATGATGCAAATAAGCCAATGAACCAGAGTTTAGTTCAGAAACAGACCAACACATACATGGTCAATTAATTTACAACAAAGAATATCTCAGTGCAGAAGAAGAGGACATGATGGGCAGCTTAGCCAATGTTTTTTAATCAATTGCAAATTCCTGGAAAAGGTGAATTTGGATTATTTTTTAATTATTATATAAGAAATTAGCTCTAGTTGCATTCCAGAACTATATTGTGATATGAAAGCTTAAGATTTTTAAAATGAAAATTAGCAACACAAGTTTATGGAATGTGTCAAACATTGTAAAGGCATGAAGGTGTTAAGAAAGCCAGAAACAATGAGTTATATTGAAAAATGAAATTTGCATTGGTCACAAAGTACCATTAAGGGTTCAAGAAAGCCAATACCAAGGTGGAGAAGATGATTACAGTACATCTATCTGACAATGGGACTCCCAAACTTACGTGCAGAGCTGCACAGCAATATGAAGAAACACTCTAAAAGTCAAATGGGAAGGTACGTCACAAAACACAATAGCCATTAAACAAGAAATATTGTTCAGTCTCATCCCAGGTAAGCACAAAATTAAAATATCACTAAATCCCAGTGTCAGCCCAGAAGATGGGATGAAACTGGAGAGTGATCACACATGCTGGGAAGGAAGCAGAACATCTACAGTTTCCTTCTTATGCTGGGATTGTATGTCTATGGAGCTTTTCAAAAATATGTGAGACTAGCCCATGCATTATCCGTATCACCCAGATATTCCACTCACTGAATTTATTCACAAAAACATGTACACAGAGGCACCAACGCACCCACTTGGAGCACCACTGGAAAGAGCAAAAGACTGAAAATGGCCAAGACTGAGAGGCATACACTGTGCTATCTACATAGAGTTGAACAATATGTAGCAACCATAACAAGTGAAATAGGACTTGGATGGATCCCAGTTTAGCAAAAGTCAGATGTTTCAGAGCACATAGCATATGATTCCTCATATAAAATACTCAAGATGGAGATGTGTTACCGACAGTCAGTGAATCACAGCAGAGCTTCTCCAGGCAGAAAGGAGTGACTGACAGATGTCCATTTGGCCCCCTTTCAGCCAGGTTCTGTTTCTTGATGTAACTATTGATTAAGTAGGCTGATCTCTTGTGGATTTCCTAACTTTTCTTACTGACTTAGAAAACTGACCACCATCTATTAGGGGAAAAGCAATGTTGGCTGTATACTACACATAATTCTATGCCAGTCATAAAAAGACTTGTATTTTCATATCAAAAAATAACCTATGGATGATTTATCATTTTCATTTATGTTTCAGTTTTGGGGCTTATAAAACTACTGGATGACAAAATGAGAAGTAGTTGCATTCTAGTTATGAATGACTTAGATACAAATGATAAACATGTAAAAAGAAGCAACTCACTAGCTAAAATTTCCAAAATTCCGAAGGGATCCCCAGAATGGTGCAATGTGGTGGCCCTGACAGGTCTGAGGTACCAAGAGGTCATGGTATAGCTCAACCTCTGAGATATAAGGACACAGCCAAGTAGGTTAATGTTAGTGTCATGAACTGTAATAGCTCTGCTCAACTTATACTGAAGGAGAGTCTTCTGTCCTCTATGGGACATTCACTGAACAAAGGTAAAAGCTTGAAAATTTATAAGATACCTGCTGTGAATATTGTTCTGTATAAATAAAACACTGATTGGCCAGTGGCCAGGCAGGAAGTATAGGTGGGACAAGGAGAGAGGAGAATTCTGGGAAGTGGAAGGCTGAGTCAGAGAGACACTGCCAGCCGCCGCCAAGATGAGAAACAGCATGTGAAGATGCCGGTAAGCCATGAGTCATGTGGCAAGGTATAGATTTATAGAAATGGGTTAATTTAAGATATAAGAACAGTTAGCAAGAAGCCTGCCACGGCCATACAGTTTGTAAATAATATAAGCGTCTGTGTGTTTATTTTATAAGTGGGCTGTTGGACTGATGGGGCTTGGCGGGACCCAGAGAGAAAACTCCGGCTACAGATACCTAACTCCATCCTAGAGAAGGGACACATTACGTTTATGACTATTCCTTTCCATGCCCATGAGCGGTCCCACTTATGGATGGCACAAAGAAGCATCGCCTCTTGTCATGCTTTTGGTGTGACACTTGGTACAGATGGCTAAGACAGACTCTGCCTTACTGCCCATCTATTTTACAAGCAGAGATCCTTATAAAAATGTCTGTGTTTCCTTTAACAAACATGTATTGTTAGACAGTAACTTCTACCACCAATTCCATTTCTATATATTCCTATTGGAAAGAGGTTCCCAATAACACAAATCTCTAAAACTATAGTGGACAATGTAACAGGAGGTTTGAAAAGAGCCATAAATCTATGGCAATCATCATATTTATTGTAAATAAAATGATTTGGAAAGTAAAGATGGTCACTAGTGAAATCTGAAAACACATCTGCGATATGAAAATCAGAAGCTGGGTCCACAGGCTGCCCACAACCTGGGAAAACATCCAGTGTTTACAATTTCCAGTCACAGAATAAACGAGAACACATTTCAGTTCATTTTCCTTAAAAACAAAACAAACTGAAACAAAAACAAACAAAAGAAAACCAAACCTCCCAATGAATGAAAAAGACATTGATTCAAATCTATATATCAAAATAAAAAGTAGAAGAAAAAGATGAGGAATTGCAAATGAAGCTCCCATTATAGGCTTAAAAATGAAAGGTTATCAAGCAATTATTTAATCACAGAGGAGTGATGCTTAGTTTTACTGTTCTGTCTCACACAGGTTAGAAATGGAGCAAATGAACTTAATTATAATGGTAAAGACTGGCTGGATACAGAAGTTGCTCTCTAAGTGATGTGTTAGGCTAGAAACCAGGTGCCATGTATGGTCTGTACATCTTCCTGCAGTAGAACAGATCCCTGAATGCATTTCCCCAAAGCTCTGAGACAATGGTGTGCTCTGTACAAGGCGAGAGCTCCCCACGCATCCTGTGACATCACTACTCTACCTGTCACTTACAGACCTCCCTGAGAGGAAGTGAAAATGATTGAGTTCAGTAAATGCAGGAAAAAAAAGTAAAATAAAAACATATGGGTATAAACTTCTTACAAACAGTGCAGAAAAGCACAAGGGCATACTGAGCGAGCTGGAAGAGACTCGTTCTTCTCATTATGCAAATGCCTTTTGCTAGAGTTATTTTCTATTTTGGTCAGGATGATCCTCATTACTACTTTTACTATGTGAAGCACAAAACTGTGTATCTGTTTTAACAGGAACATATACATAATTACTCTCTGCAGAAATTTTCAAAAATGTCAAAATATGAATTAAAACACCAACACTTCTTTTTTTTAAAGGTTTCTTATGTAGTTCCAAAACATGCTGCTTACAGAATGAAGCCTTGGTGCAATGGATGAGAACATTTGGAGCAGTTTCTAAAATAATCATTACTTATTTAAAGCAAGGCTTAGCTCTGGCTATATTATACAGAAATTCTTCTGAGAAACGTGTAAATGTACAATGAAAGCCAAGTACCTCAATTGCCCCCCATTTTCTCCAGAAAAGACCCCGTCTCTTTGTGGTTGAGATGGAAATTCACAGTTCTCCCAACCCCAGGCTGAGCTCTGTCCCATCCAAAAGGAGCAGTTTCACTTTGGACATCACAGCCCTCTGGTGCAGTGACTATCCAGTCCTCTTTTATCTTAAGAGAACTCCATCAGGAGATTGCAGTGGAGATGAACTACAATGCTATACAGTTGTATTCATTTTCTTTCCAACTCAGCAGAAAACTCACCAACAGATGTGTGAGGTTTTGAGAGCTGAGAATTTCAGACCACAGTGGCCGAAGACTAACTACATCCTAACTACAAATGACCAATGTTTTCGTCTCACCAGATCAAAATGTCAGTGCCAAGACAAGGCAGCTCAAGGAAGACCTTAGGCAGCTGTCACAGAGCATGGCCTCACATCCTGTCTGCACTGAGTAGTCACTGGAAGGAAACATCTAAATGAAGACATGATATCCCTTCTCCTTTCTGCGACCCCGACAAATTTCTTGTCTCTGACATCAGCTTTCTTCCCGGTAACTTTCCTCCTGACCTACTAACAACACACATTTTCCCATTGTCCAATTTGTCAACCACAGTGACTTTCCCTGCTGCATTAAGTGGCCCCTGGAGAAGCAGAGAGCACACCAGAAATACTGACTTCCACAAGACTGGATCTTTTCTGACAGGAAGAAGAGTACAGAGATGACAGGGACTTTTTCACCTTTAAAAATGAGAAAACTAAGATAGGGGATTTGAAGTAACAGCACTTGTTATTCGCAGGGTGGGTAGCACACCATGAATCTCAGAGTCTCTTGACTTCAGGTCAGGTTCTTGGCAACACTCCCTACCAGAACAAGGAAGCCAAACAGACAGAGAAGACAAATGCCACAAAGAAGAGCCAAAGCCAGAAAGTTCTGTGCTTTTGCTAGTGTTGGGTTTTTGTTTTTGTGTTGTTGGTTTATTTTATTTTTTTACCTCTGAAGAGATTATCCAAGTCAATATCTTCTTTTCCTTTGATTTTCAAACACTTTGCCTGCTGTACAAGTCTGGCAAAGAACAGAAATAAAATCTAGATTCATTATCCTGTGATGTAAGAATAAATCACGATACCAGCACAAATTTAAATAGAAACCAGCAGAGTAAATGACAGCGAATTAGTAGGTGTTTCGCTGCATAGTCTCATTATAATGTTTCTTCAGTTTAAGATTTAAAGAAAATAGGAACTCTTGTTCAGAAACCCTGACTTTGAAAACTGAACCTTAAAAGTCTTTTCCTCCATTCACCCCAGAGAATGATCTCTTCTGGCTTGAGGAGTCATCTGGGACAGTGGGTAACAGGGTGGTAGGTGGGTAAATAATAAGCAATATTCCCAATTTGGGCACTTATTATTTCAACCAGAAGATTATAGACACTGAGCCCAAACAAGTGTATAAAGTAATTTAGTTGCATTGCTGAATGTCAGAGAATTAATTAACTTTTGCAATGTTGCAGAATACAGTGAGGGCTAATTTTGTAACTCTTTCATCACAGGACTTCATTAAAAATCGAGATTCCAGCTTCATAGCAAAGACTGAAGTTTTTCAAATGAAACTTCTCCAGGGTTGCTAATTAGCTACTAATTAATTTTAGGTAGGCAGAACTTGAGATAATTCACTTATCTGCATGTATTTATGATTTTAATAAACATATAATAATGTGCTTTGCCCGTGTGTTTTCTTAGTGCAGTTAATGGTTTTCATTTTATCCCCACTGACAGGCCTGTGAGCTGGTCATGATAGAATGGGGGGAGGAAAGGACTCCACTACCCAAACTCTACCTAGAAATCAGAATTGCTTTTAGATAAACTGACATATTTTTATCTATAGTTTTTATCACAGCAGAAGTACATCTACTCTTTAGATAGGTATCTTCTTTTTTTTGATCAAAAGAACAAGAAAAAGTTTAAATTGTGACCCCATCTTTGGACCTTCTGCTACAGTGCACAGTAGTGGGCGATGCCAGGCAAAGAGCCGAAACTGGGTGCAGGAACCCCTGACTTGATGCCTAGCACTCAGTTCCTAACTCTGTGAGATGGACTGAATCTTTAAACACTTGAGTTTCAGTGTCCAGTCTGTGACGTACAACATACAATATGCCTAACTGGGTTGGTCTGTGCAATTAGTTAAACAACATATTTTTAAAGCACCATCAAAGCCGCTATACACTATTGATCTTCATACAATCTGTGCAATGTTTTAACAATTCAGTGCATTTAACTTTCTTTAGATTCCCTGTGTATCTCTATGTGTTGTCAGGATTCATTTACATTTTTTCTAGCAAAGAGTGTGAACTATAGAGAGAGGATTTAAGCTTAAGTAGTGAGTTTCCAATGGTCAAGTGGAATGCTGGGTGTCACCAACCTCTGTGCTCAGTGTCACAGCACAGACATTTTGTAAAGGAGCTGGGGAGAAAGGAACAATTTTAGTGCTGCTCACTTGTTTTTGGATATCTTTGGGGATTCCCCCCTCAATTTTATAAATTCGATAGCATTGTGAGTTGATTTGAAATGCCCTGACAACATCCCTCTGCAGTCTATGCTGGTAGATCTATCACACAAGATTAAAAAATAGAAGCTTGTCTGCTTTACATGATGTTGGTGGGATTTAAAACTATTTTAAAATAAATGTATCTGGTGGCATTTTTTTAAAAATGCAAGTCATTGGAATTAATCAAGGCTATCTTTCCATTAAGTCCCAATTTCAAATGGTTACATCATTAAGGAGATACCCAAGCCAAACCTTGTAAGCAGTTCGGACACTGAGAAATCCAGATGCATAAGGGCTCCCAGGCTCTCACTTCACTTTGCCTTATTCTCACAACAATATTCAAGACTTATAAAAATGGAAACTGAGGCTCAAAATCACCGGACATCTTGCCCCTTCTTAAACACACAGAGTCCACAGTACAACTAAGACACAATGTCAAGTCTTTGGGCAGTAAATGTAGTCTTTCTTCTGTACCACAGGTCATCTCCAAGAGGCATGATGCCTACTGTTCCTTTATAGATATGAGAGGCCTTTGGGGGGACCTGAGAGAACATGTCAACTACTTTGGCTGAAATGCTTATACTGTGCACAGTTTTAGGGTAAGAGCTGGCCATCAGTGGTCCACAAGTCAATTTCTACCATGTTCTGGTACACAGAATTTCCCAGTAACACAGGCATAGTTCCTGTCTGTGGCTACTTTCATGACAGTGGCTGAGTTGACGGTGGTAGTACATATTTAGTATCTGGTTCTTTAGAGAAAAATGTTGGCTGACCATTGTTCTAGAAGTAAAGAAAGCAGCCTGTAAAGTCAGAATGTGTATAACACACATATCTGACACTTATTTGCAGGTAAATTCTCCAAGACTATGCAATATTCTTTTAGATTTTTCTGCCCTCAGATTGAATTCAGTCAAGATGGTTTCTCTTAACAAAAGACTTCTCATGTGCCAGGGCATGAGGACCTGCACACTGGTGGGAAAATGGCAAATGTTCTCCATGGTACATTTATATGGGGAAAATACAATAAAGTACTTGTCAACAGAGGAACAGGTTGAATGGACAAAATATATCCACATACAGACTATGATGCAGCTGTTAAAAATGATACATTGGATGCATTTGTTTTTATTTACTAACATATATCTGATGTATCTTTTGGTGTGTGTGTACATGTGTATGTGTGTTGTTGTTGTTGATATTGTGTGAATATGTTCGTGAGTGAGCACTTGTGTTTGAAGGCCAGAGGTTGACATTGGACATCTTCTTCAGTCATTCTCCACCTTATTTTTTTTGGAACAAGGTTTTCCACTGGAGAGAACCTGGACTTCACAGAACGTCTAGGCTGACTGACCAGTGAGTGACGAGGATCCACCAGGCTCCACACTCCCAGAGCTGGGGTTACAGGTATACTGTTACCCTAGATTTTAACCTGGGTGGTGGGCATCTATACTCAGGTCTTCACACATGTGCAGCAGGCACTTTGCTGACTTAGCTAAATCCTCAGGTCTCCCATAATGTGTTCTTTCTATTTCTTTTTCTTCTGAGACAGGATTTCTCTGTGTAGTTTTTGTGTCTGTCCTGGATCTTGCTCTGTAGACCAGGCTGGTCTCGAACTCACAGAGATCCTCCTGGCTCTGCCTCCCAAGTGCTGGGATTAAAGGCGTGTGCCACCACCGCCCGGCATGTATTCCTAAATATATGAATTGTTGCAGATTAAAACCACTTAATGTGAATTTTGTAAAGAGGGAGGATTCACCTACGTACTTGTATGAAGATGTAGACACTGAAGAGGTAAGGATATTAGCAGAAGTGGCTTCAGTTTGCAGAGATGAAGAACAGAATAGGAATGAGAAATGTTTGACTCTTAATAATTCTCTTTAGTCTGTACCAGTTAGGCTGCTGGATGGAAAAGGTCTGTATATTATTAATGTTTTTATGTTTTATTTATTTACATTTTATGTGTATAGGTGTTTTGCCCACATGCATGTCCTGGCAACTGTGTGTGCCTGCTTCCCGTGGAGAACAGGGGTGTCAGAAGCCCTGGAACTATAGTCATGGACCGTTGTGAGTCATCATATAAGTGGTAGAACTGAACCTGGATCCTTTGGAGGAGCAGCCAGTGCTAGTAAATGCTGCGCCATCTCTCCAAGCTGGTACATTTTAATTTTACTCCTCTATATTTTCTAATTTTCTTCCAGTAAGCAAGTAATGATTTTATAATGAGAAAATCATGTTAACCATCCCTGGTTTGCTATGCAAACGAATGGCAAAAGATTATTTAAAAGTCCGATTGGGTATAAAGGTGAGAAGAAATGCCTGCTGGAGCTCAGGCAGTGGTTATTTTTTTTTTTTTTGTGGGGGGGCGTCCAGGAACACTAATATTTGCTTCACACGAGGAAGCATGTAGGCCTTAGAACACAGTGTTCTGTAGAACTTAATCACTAAGAGCCCTAGCTGAGGAAGCGCACCAGCAATCCAGAGATTCACAATAAACTGGAAACTGCCTGATGAGAATCATCCCGGGAAAGCTCTCTTTCAGGATCTCACTGACCAGCACTGGGTACTATGTAACGTTCAGCAGGACTGAGGCTTGCTGTGGAACAACATGGCCGCCGAGCAGGTGCTGAAGGACCAGGACCCCGGGACTTGATGAATCCTTCCATAGCACCCCAGCTGATGGCTTATTTCATTTTTGACCTGCAAATTCAGCAGGATCTTTTGTTTCCTCCTTCCTTAGTGTCTCCCAACTACCCATGGTCTTGGGGACTCTGCTGTAGGGAGCTGCCGAGCGTGTTGCAGGCAATGTCCTTTCTTTTATTCCGTGTGACTGTTCCCTAAGCAGCCACACTCACCTGCCTCTTGGCAGCAAAGATCACCAACACACCCGCTGTCCAGTCGACAGCCACTAGAACCCATTACCTTAATTCTGGTCCTGTCCTACCACAGACCGGTGAGGGTAATTTTCTTATTACTAACAAGGATAATAACATAAATCTCTGGCAGTTTTGTTCACTGCTGTATCACTGCAGTCTGAATGGAGCCAGCCCAGATGTTTGCTGAAGGGGTAAATGCTGAGGGAATGGATGGATAGCTTTAATTTCGGGATCTAGCTGTGGTCAGGGTCCCACATTCAGCAAGGTAAATGTTCCTGAGCCAACTCCAGGATACAATCCGATTTAGTTCTGATGGTGTTTTAGCACTGAGTGGGCTGTGGTATGGGATAGCAAGTAGAGGGACCAGAGGATGTCACACAGCACAGAGTCGCCGCCTCTGTGCTGTGTTAATGGGGGAACATGGTTATTCGCTTTGGTCTCCTCATTCTTATATTGAAGAAGTTAGCGATCATGGATTTCTTGATTAAGGGGCTTAATTTAGTTACAGATGCTGAATTTTCTCTCCAACCAAGTAAGTGAAGATCTAAGTTCCTACTGGTCCCAAGACGATTGTTAAATGAGGACTGTAACTAGGCCAATGGTAAGGTTTTAAAGTCAGCAAATTGTATAAAAGTAGGAAAGAAGATA